GATATGACGATGTCGTCGCTCGGATAAACCGTTGTGTTCCGGTGTATGAGGCGGAGTAGTGAGGTGAGAAATGCCATGAGTAGCAAGAAAAGATTTGAGTGCGATATATTCACCACCATTATCAGAAAATAATGTTCCTATTTTGGTTTGGAACTTATTTTCTACAAGAGCTTTGAATTTGATGAAGGTTTCTTTGACATGAGATTTTAATTGAAGAGGATACAACCATGTATAGCGAGTGTGATGATCAACAATTATAAGGTAATACTTATAATTATCAATAGAGATTACGGGAGATGTCCACACGTCGCTAAACAAGATTTCAAGAGGTCGAGAAGAAGAGATTGATGTTTCGGAAAACGAAAGCTTATGACTTTTATTGATTGAACAGTCATTACAAAGGGAAGTAGACTGTTTTGTAGAATGAGGCAAGGAGAATTGAGAAACAATAGTTTTTAAATTTTGAAAAGAAGGATGACCTAAACGAAAATGCCACTCTTGTAAAGAGGGTTTATTTGAATTTGAAGTAAAAAACGATGTTGGGAAAGGTTTGGTGATAGGCCACTCATAAAGCTCTCCGTTAGTGTGACCTTGGAGTAATTGGGCCCCCGAGCTGAGATCCTTCACCTGAAAATGTGCAGGAAAGAATTCAACAGAAACACCGCTAGTATTACAAAGCCGATACACCGAAACCAGATTTTTTTGTATATTTGGGACACACAAAACATCACGCAAAGCTAAAGGTTTTGAGTGAGATGAGAGAGATGCTAAACCAGAATCAAGGACCCACGGATTCGGACTGAGCGGAGTGGGTGTAGCAGTAGCAAGATTCGCACGAGGGAGCCAAGGAGAAGGAGGATACGGAGGTGTTGGTAGTAGCGGTTGGTTCGGACCAGACCGGTTCACCATAGCTTGAAGTTGAGTACACCGTTTCGCCGAGTGACCCTAAACGCCACAAATCTGACATTTCCCAAGATATGGTTTAGGCTGATAGCCGAGATTTCTAAGATATAGGTGGCTGTGATACCATATAGAAGATATGAGAATGGATGATTCTTATTACAATAGAGTTTACACATATATACAAGAGAGTGTTGAAAGAGTAGCCCTAATTACACATAAATACAAAATATGTGATTGAGATGATTGAGATATCAAATATATGATTGACAAGGTAATCTCCTTAGTCCTTAATCATCTCCGATCCTTAATACAATTAACTCTTTTTTTTTTCCCAACACGATTACCTTTGTTCATATAAAAAAAACATTATTACTTTGGGAGATCCGGATATACAAATGAGTATTTGGGACTTAGGAGAATGTGACGTCATAATTATCGAATATTATTCAAAAGCCGTTTAATTTTTGATACAAACAACGCAACACTTTTCTCGAGTCATCAACTTGACGGCAAACCTTCGCTGTCTTCCTAACAAAATAATGCACGAGACAACTGTCAAGACTCAAGACGATATAGCTTGTCATACTACAACCGTTAATTGCCAAAATTTATTCAAGAATTCATAGTTTAACAATAAGACTACAAATAATTGCTACGTAAAATGTAATAGAAAAAATTGGTAGGAAAATGAAATATCACAAATAATTATACGGTAAATAATGAAACAATAAATTTTATGCATGAAATGATCTGGCGAATGTGCATAGAATATCACGTGTCCCTGATTATGGAGACACACAAACATATTGAAAAAATTATCAACCAATTATAAACGAGAGAATCTTCAAAGGATTATCCACAAAGCTAAATACAGTAAAACCTCCATAAATTAATACTCTATAAATTAATAACCTCTCTAAATTAATAAATTCTTCCGGTCCCGAGTTGGGACCAGTATAAAATATGACATAAATCGATAAATTAATAAGATAATAATTTTTTTGAAAATCTCATGTAAACATATGGTCCCATCTATATCATAAATTAATAATTGTATCAACTTATCAATATATATATATATATAATATATAAATTTATATATGTTATATATGAATTACTATGATATATATTTAAAATATTATATATAAGAAATTTGATGAAATATGACTCTATTATTCGAAAAAAGTTTGTGTTGTTTTTAAACTTAATAATTGTTTCTCTACTTGTAATTAGTTTTTAAGAGATATTGTTTATAAATAAATTTTTTTTTTAGATAATTTTTTTTAAGAAATTACAAATTAGGAAAATCTCTCTATAAATTAATAATTATTAATTTATCGATAAATTAATACTTCTCTAAATTAATAAAATTTCTTGGTCCCAACATTATTAATTTATAGAGGTTTTACTGTAAATTACGAGGCATAATTAGATTTAACCAAAACTATTAATTTGAAATTTTTAGAGAAGATGGCGCATTTTGTATTTAAAAATAATATAAAAAAGCAAATTTTATTTCTTGTGATAACTAAAAATTTTGTGTCAATAAAAGTAAAGGACATAAAATATACTCCCTCTGTTTTTTAAAAGTTGTCGTTTTAACTGTATTTAGACAAATTAAGAAAAGGTATACAATGACTATATTAACCTCATAAAAATGACAAGTAATTATTTACAAATAATTTGTGTTTAATTAAATGAGGGTAATTTGGGTAGTTATTGGCATAAGTTACATTATTACCTTAAAACGACAACTAATTTAAAACAAAAAAATGCTCTAAAACGACAACTATTCGAAAACGGAGGGAGTATATTTTAGCATGTTTTGATGAGATGCATATTAATCAACCAGTGACCACTAAATATTCATATGAAACTATTGTATACTCTAAACTTGATTTATATTTTATCTTAACAAACTTGGTTACCGAAAAATATAATTTTTGTGAGATAAAATACCGAAAGTAATGTTGGTAGGAATTATTTTAATTGTTGAATTTATCTTCGTAAGGAGTTGTTTAAAAGATTTCTTGCCTAATTATCCCAATAACGTCTTTTGTCTTATATACTTAATAGAACTTACGCAAAGTACACAACTAATGCTAGTACACAATTAGAAGTACAGCGCTTGAAGAGGGATTGTCAATGTAGCTGTTTCATGTGGTTATTGAATAGAAAATGTAAATATTCTTCACCTTAATTTTTTTACATTAAAAACTATGCTAAAGAAAGAAATTTTACATAATATAATATATCGAGCACGTATCCCTAATCTTTCACAAAAGGACACGCTTTGACCTTGTGATGATGATTGAGATCTTAAGTTTGTCTTCTAATCAGTTAATTAAAGTTGTTGTTTATTGAAACGAAAAAAGAAAAGTAATTCAACTGTTAAAGATGCAAATTGCTTGGTTTAACAAAACAAAGATGCATGGTAAATGAAATTTTGCCTTATACAGTACTGACATTTATCGTTTATCGTTTAACGTTTTTATCAAATCCTAATTACTGTATAACCTTAATTAGCAACTGTTGGTAAGATTAGTACGTAGTATATGAGTTTAAAAAGACTATAAAAAGAGGATAACATTTTAAAGAAGACGTTACACGACATATACAGTACATAGTTTCAATAAATGCTTAAAAGAATTTTGTACGCATGTTATTTTTGCTGATACTCATAGAGTCATAGTAGAACGTCTCTTCTCTAGTTTCGATTCTTGTGTATGTGCATTAAGATTTGACTAATCCTACCGTCCATATACTTACTATCAGGGGCGGATCTAGGTGCAAGCCTACATGGCACGTGCCCCACACTACTATTGAAAATTTTCTGGTTTTACTTATAATTATTCGATTGTTACATGGCAAAATCAGACTAATTTCCTCTCGTGCCTTAGGCTAAATAAACTTTGATTCACTTCCTATCTTCTTTCTTATTGTTCGTTTGTTTTACTTCATGTAATTATACATTTTAACTTTGCACTAAACGCTAGCTTCTTTCCTTTCAACAAAACTTTTTGTTTCCTTTTCTGTAATACCATTATCCCACCATCAATACTAATTGTATATTTATTTCCCTAAATTTAGTCTTCTTTTCTTTTCTTAATGGCTATATATGTGCAAGTAAAAATTTATACAAAATAGTCATTCTTATAGTTTAAAAATAAAATTAAAAATCAATACAAAATTTACAAAAAATTAGTACATGTAACATTTTGAGCAATGTTATAGTACATATTTTGGGAAAACTATTTTGGCTATTATTTATACATAATTTATAAGTAAATAATGGTGCCCATATAGAAAAAAGTTCTAGATCCGCCACTGCTTACTATATACTATTTAATACAGCTAGTAAGATTACTACATGCACATTAATTTTTTGAACCTTTACCTCTTTAATATTATATTAATTAATTAAAGTCTACATATTTAGGGAGACAAACCTTCTACGTAAAAAAAGAAGAAAGAAACCAGGTCGCGGAAATGGATGTAAGCTAAAATCCTCTATAGTCTATATAATATAGAAGAGGATGTAGTGAAAAAGGTTAATTAAAAAATAATGAAATTCAAAGAGTGTTTTAATTAAGGAGGATTTAAATTTTAATTTATATTGAAATATATTTGTATATTTATTTTTCAGTTGCCTTATTATCACTATAAAAATATATTCATGCTGAATATCTCAAAACTTAACACGAAGATTCCACGAGACAAAACTTAGTTGATCAATAGATAAGAAAAGAGACAAAACACTGAAAACATAAAAGATTCTCTCAAAGTGAAACTCAGAAACCTAAAATTTGCAGCATCACATCACGCATATCTTGGAGAATTATATTACAAAAAATATTACAAAAATAGAAACATACCTACACATATATAACTATTACCTATCTAATCAACTATAAAGATTCTATCCTCGTGTGGACCGACGTCTGACATATCGTCGGTGACTTCAATGTGTTGGCTCTTACATAATTAAAGGAATCAAGAACATCTCGATTTGCACATAACTTAATGTTACTTATTAACTATTTTTTGAAACCGAAATCAAAAGTGATGAGTCGTTTGGCATCATAATTAATGCGGATACATTTCATAATTAATTATTCTGCTATACTTTTTTTTCTAGTTTGAGTTACTATCTCGTTGCGTTGATGAGAGGATTGCGTCAATGGCTTCTTTAACTTGAGAAATGTCCGGAGCTTTTCCTCCTTGTGCCGGCCAAAACTCATCGGCCGCAAGTACCTATAAAATTAACAAAACTCATCGCTTGTATCAATACTTGAAGAACCCTAATTATTTATATATATTATAAACGGTATGTTTGCTAAGAATAATTTACCTTAACTTGTACTTGAAGAAACTTGACATAGCCAATTGCTTTCTCAAGCATAGTCACCAAATCCACCTATATATTAAAAAAAAACCCATAAAGATATAAAAAAAAATAGTACAAGAAAATATTTACTATACTATAGGTTTGAAATGTTAATGTTGCTATAAAAGTAAATTTATACATAGATTATACCTTGGTGCCATTGGGTACAAGTTCTTGCAATACTTTGAGGCGTTCGCTTATCCTTTCTCTTCGGTTCTAGACAATTATAAACATTTTGTTGTATTGGTTAATTGACAAAAGCACATATATATTTCTTAGTTTTCTTGACTTAAATCCAAAAAGAACCATGGCAATAAAGGTTGATGAATAAAAAGAAAGCATACCTTGGCTGCTTGGCTTTGTGGATCTTTAGGTGAAGTTGTTGCCTTAGGTTTGGCCTTTCCACTGGTACCACTACTTGGCTTCTTCGAAAGGTGAGTGATCTCTCCCTATCGATCAATAGACGGTAAAATGTTAACATCTATAAGTGACCTAATTATCAAAAATCTTAATTTATAGTTACTAATAGTTACCGTGCAAGGACGTTTATTTCCAGCCAGTTTAGGGGACGCAGACTCGTGCCTTAACCCTGTGTTTACAATGGTTGAATCTGAATATAACCAGTCTCCATTTCCATGGTTTGTCGCCGGTTTACTCGTGGAATTTGAAGTCAATCCAAAACTGCCCGTTTTCTCAAAGCTATTTGGTGTTTTGATGACTCTAGGGCTAATACTATCCATCTGATGATGACTCCAGCCTGTGTAGCCGTAACTCATGTTCTCCTCCAAGACCGAGAAGGCACCACCGTTTGTCACGGGAGAGATAAAGCTTCGGTGATTATCAAAGCTAAAGAATGATGAAGCGTTGAAGTCCATCAAAGAATTATGATCCTCAATGCTTTCCCCGGAAGGGTAAAACACACACCCTTGATTCTGTTGATGATGATCAGAATTCATGGTGCTACTGCTTGAAGCTGAAGCTCCTCCGTCTAATCCGCAATTCTCCGGTGAAGAGAGATCTTCTGAAGAATTTGGGTTTGAGATGTAATTAGGCTCATTGCAATGATCGTTAATGAGTGACATAGACACTAAGTATAGGGTGTTCTAGTGAGATGTATGGGGGTTTTTTTTTTTTCTATCTTAGGTTTTGCTTTGGAAGGTTAAGAAGATTTGAGAAATCGAAACAACGAGAAATGGTTTTAAGGTTGTAGATTGGTAAGAAAAGAGAGACAATGTTTTGTGTAGTTATGTTATCATAAAGGTTTATATAGACGGTTCATTCTAATATTTTAAAAGAAAATGATGACATTTAGATATATTTTTTAGTTTCTATTTAAGTTATATTTTTTTAAGAGAGGAAGCTGGCATGAGATCAAAATAGATATTTCTCGAGTTTATTAATCTTATCAGTCGAAGCTTCGAAGTAATCTTACATGCAAGTACATTTTTTATAATTTAATATATATAGCAAATTTGATTACCGCTTTTAAACTCTCAACGAAGTTTTTATTTTACAAGAACATTCAACTTCTTTCCATTTAGGAAAATAGTCACTCAATTTTAAGTGAAAACCGTGCAAAGAAATAAACATTCTACTAAGCCACATTAAAGGTTTCATTAAAATAGATGTTTCAAAGGACTGTCGGGGAAGATGATTCTACAATATTGATCGAATTTGAAATTTTTTATTTACTGAATCGGAGCAAAATATCCACCTATACTATTGAAAATTTAGTCCAACTTCTAATGCGAGACAAGTTTAATTTGTCCTATTTATGTATCTTATACAATCAATTTTTGAGCTCAATTCCTCTTTCTAAAAACATTTATTTTATCGAGCACATAACTTCTACCTATATTTTTAGTTTTGACAAAACTTAGTTCCAACATATATCGAGCACATAACTTCCACCTATACTTTTATTGCCTCCAAAACATGAATATGAGTTTATTGTTGCCAACAAATGAGACGTTAAGGATTTTCTAAATAGAATCACTAAAGTGTACTGTGATGTATAATGATGTACCGTATAATGATCATGTACTATGGATCAGATTTCATAATTCATAGATCAACTTGTAGGATTTAATGTCATGATCTATCAATCGTTAGAGAAACCTACTTAACACCAAAGACACCACACATGTTGACTAGATTTGGAGGATGGGTGTAGATATTGTAATTATGTCTAGTGTATAAGAACATACAATATACTTGATGATGATCGTGCCATGAATTTATGTCGTCTTCAACTTTTCGCACAACTTTCTCTTTATGCATTGCATAAGAGCGCATGCATCTTGAATTGTCTCAATTCCACGAGCTGTCAATTAATTTGCATTACTTTATAACAAAAATTTACTTTGATAATAGATCACAGCAATAAGAAAGCCAAGAATTAAAATTTTCGTATCAAATAAATTAGTTTTGGAAGATAACTTATACTAGTTATTAATTCTAGTGATTATTAAGGACTTATGAGTGATAACGGAAAAGTGCGAAACTTATCACCCCTTCACATGGAATCGGAAACGTTGATTTGGGCGATGGAATACATTTTAATTTGTTTCATCATAAGCTAGATATATAATCTTTTCACACCATTAGTTCAGAATTGGTAAAAATGTAGATGGACAGATTGTCTGGCACGTAGTACTAGATCGAGTTCTTGTAATTTTATTTTTGTAAACTTAGTTCGTTTGATTTGGTTAAACAAATCAATTTCTTAACTTAGTAATCATCGGTTCACAAAAAAAATATTCTTCTAAACATAGATACAAATAGAGCTGTCGATTAGGGCATAATACCACAGGCTATAACTCAATCCAAACCCAATCTACCTTATAATAAAGTGGTCTAAGGCTTTATTTTTCTTGTGTTCGTGGTCTTGCAGGCTGAGCTTGTCGCGGTCTACGGTCTCTGGCAGACTTATTGTTGTGGTTTGCAGGCATGACTGCGAATTAATAAAAAAATTAAAATATATAATTATACTAAATTTTTTGTAACGATTCCACACCTTTGAAGTTTATAACAACTTGAATTTTAAGTTTTCTTATATTTCACCTATTACCTCTAAAATTTGTTTTTCTTGAGTTATTATTTATTTTATTTTGTACCTCCACCACAATTCTACGAGATTATAACTCCACCATGATTTCATTTTCTTTAGTGTTGCCAATTTTCATATTTTTCTTCCTTGTAAGTAACTCTTTTTCTTCAAGATCGATAATGTTCTAATCTGTATCCTCTTATGTCTAAATATACAGATTTCTTTCATTAACAGAAACATATTTCCTTCATTCACACAAAGACACAAATATTTAAGTCAAAGATTTTCGAATTGTGACTGTGTGATATATATAATAAATTATTTTTAAGTATTAATTGATGATGATGTATGTATGCAGTTAATGAATGTAGTTCCAAGTTTATTAATCACAAATTACAATAATACTATTCGTTATGATCTCTCATCGGGATTGTTGGCTGGCAGTAGTGAAATTAATGGACTGGGAGACTTTTTAAGGCATAAATAAATCAACAAAGATAGAAAATTTATAGAAATTACTAAATTAGAGATTGAAAGAACAAAAGAAGCAAAAACATCGCCGTATTTTCCGCTAATCTTCACGTCGTTTTTATTCCCAATTTGGTGTATTGAATAAAGACTAATTTTTTTTTCAACTAAATTTGCCTTTTCAAGTATCACGGAGTATTAATTTACTCTAAATTTCCAAAAACAAGAAAATCAGAAACATAAAATTTTATAAAGAGAAACAAAAACTTTTTCGTAGCAACACACCCGACATAGTTATGATTGATTTTGAGACTCTAGCTATCAGTGTAACTGAAAATATAATCTTGATAATTTTATAATCACTTTTTTCACTACCCACATATTTAGTTCTATTTAATACTATCTTTTAATGTGTAGATTATAAATTTTTGTTATATATATTCAGTTTTTGTTTCACGGAGACTTTGTAGGATACTCTTAGTCTTATAGTTATAGGTACAAGAATACGTTTAAACAAAATAGAGAAACAACAATATTACTACAACATATTAGGAATGTGGCCTAACTTAACCCAAAAGCTAGCTCAAGAGTTAAGGATTGCCACATCCTTTATATACTACCCAAAGATCTTAATCCCAAGCAATGTGAGACATTCTAATAGGCCTCCTCGAGATGTGGGTGGGAAACGGTCCAACGGGAAACAGCCCAAGCCCAACATCTCGGAAATACAACAAGACATGCCATTTATATGGGCCACATAGGTGGGAAACCATTTTTGTGGGAATTTGCTTGTTGGGCCAACCTTGGGCTCTGATACCATATTAGGAATGTGGCCTAACTTAACCCAAAAGCTAGCTCAAGAGTTAAGGATTGCCACATCCTTTATATACTACCTAAAGATCTTAATCCCAAGCAATGTGGGACATTCTAATACAACATTTACTTGGTCGTTCGTTGGTACTTGTTTTGCTGCTTTGCATTGTGTGTAGTTTTTTTTTTCTTTTTTTTTGATAAAACATTTTGTGTAGTTTCTTGAACTGAGAAGCCAAGTTGCATGACATTCAATCAACTTGTAATTACTTTAATGTTTAATTATACTACTAAGTTAAAGCGTGCTCTCGAGTTGTGCGACTTATAAGATTAATCAATTTGCTTCATTCAGTTTTAAAAATCTTACCCTTAGTTTCAGTCACTCGAAATAGAATGAAACAAAGATTTTATGTTGTTGTGTTTCTCAAGCAAACTACGTCCATAAAAGATAGAGCACTGTCAAGAAACTATTGAAGTTGTAAAAGATGTTTCTTATTGAATAAGATAGCAATGCAATGCCGTATATTAGACCTAATTTGATCTATACAAGATACTAAGTAAATGGGTTAAGGGTCTTCACAGCCCAATAAGTATTAAGTGGGTGATTAGTTGGGCTGTATATGTAAAAATTTTGTTATAAAGTTTTTGTTGTATCTATGTTGGCTGTAGCTATAGTTTTTTTTTTTTTTTTCTGTAGATATTTTAATAGTCAAGCCGGTTTGGTAAATTTAAATTTTAAGTATATGAATTATAAAAATTTGCAATATATTACATACAATAACATATGAAACATATAATATATAGTAAGTTTCATATATACATAATACAATATACGATTTTTGGTGAAAATATATATTATCATAGATATAATTTATAATTAAATGAAATTTATAAATATATAATTTATATAATTTTTTTGTCACTTTTTATATAGGTTATTTACATTAGTAAAAATATCGTAAATATATTATTGTAACATTTATTACAATAATCTTGTGAAGTTAAATTATCAATAACCAAAAAAGTTTCCAAATTCATCATTATTATTATTGCCAAATCTCTAAAAATGTGGTTTCACAATTTCACCTAATATATGAATACATACCTTCTTCTTCAGAAAAGGTTTTACATGCGAACCACCAGTCAAACCGTCATCTTATTTATAAATCTATTATCTACTTTAGTACTAAAAATATGTTTTTACACCCAGTCATATTTTATTATTGAAGTATGCTCTTCACTACCACTTACAAAATGTATTTATAAACAAACTAAGCTTTGCACAAAAAAAAAAAAAAAAACAAATTAAGCTTACTATATGTCTCATCACTTTCATTTTATTTGTATAGTTTCTTTAACCATTGAAATTTTTGACTTAAGAAAAATATTTCGAATGAAAATTTATCACTAGCAATGACTACATTCGTAGCTTCAAGGTGGAGAAAACCAACTGAATCTTTGAAACGGGAGAAGATAGAATGAGTTCTATGGAAAGAGGAACGATCGTGGCTCTCAAACAAATGGAGAAAAATAGTAACATCGTGAGTCGATTGGAGACTGTGGAGGGATCAATTCGTGTGACCGCGGAGTTTGCCGTTAAGAAAAGGTCTTTGGTGATTGTAGCTTTGGGAGAAGTGGAGGAACAGAAGAGGTTGAAGTCAACTCTTGTTGACCTCGACAGAGAGACCGGGATGTGCCATTGTTTTGCTTATTTTGGTCGTACGGTGGCTCCAGAGAAGATTACTGAGTTTATTTCTCGTGGCGGCAAGAGGTAGAAATAGTTGATGTTACACTAATTGATGAAGTATTTATAAGAAAAAAAGATGAAGAAAATCTACTCGGTGGGAATCAGTCAATAAAGGTTGATACATTTAAAAGAAAATTAAATTTGACCTTTTTTTCTTTCC